AATAATAATAATAATAATAATAATAATAATAATAATAATAATAATAAATATTCTCTGCCTTATTCATTGACCTGGTCTCGTTTCTTGTCAAAGTGGGGAGTTGCAATCCATGTTGCAATCTTCTGTCCTGGGCTTCATAGATCATGTACAATTCTCGAAATCAATACACAGGCCAATACTTCCACAAACTCCCATCTTCATTACAGGGAGAGTAGAAATGCATGTACTCCCTTTTCCACTTCACAATCAATGTATATTTTAAATCGGGTCTCCAACCTTTTGGACCTCGGGGACCACCAAACTCATAATTTTAAATCCCGTGGACCAGAGACCCTGGGAAAATCCCAAAAAAAGTTTGCAGGAAAATTCCTCACCCCGTTTTCCTAGCAATCAATCGTTCTTTATTTGGGATTACAGGATACCATCTCCAGCTCCGTTCTCAGAGGGAGAGAGAGACTTGGCTTAATGCAAGGAAAGCAGCAGACGTCCGCCAGAAATTAGTCTTTGCCAGAGCAGCCCCTTGGAGCAGGATGCCTTGCAGGGTCCCAAAGACTCATTTCTGGTGCAGTTTGGGGGAGAGAAAGAAAGACTTTTGCTACTTGCCTTGCGGGCAGCCAAATGCAGAAGAAGAAAGAAATGGAAAGAAACAGCCTGGTGGTCTGGCGGAGACCACCCTCCCCTCACTACCTCATGTTCACAAAGCCTTGTGTTCCCATGCAGCCTGGATTCATTGCTTTGAGGTGACATTTCTCTGCGGACCACCAAAATTTTCTCGCAGACCACCAGTGGTCCCCGGCCCACTGGTTGGCGACCACTATTTTAAATCACGCTCTCTCGGCTTGGGTAACATCCCAATGCAAAGACTGCTTGAAATCCCTGGGTTTTTTTAAGCAGAGTTGGAAACCAGCCTCATTTGGATTACAATTCTCTGCATTTAAGAAGCACATTCTCTTTCTCTGCAGAAGGAGATATGCAGCCAGAAAGGAGCAGGGCAAACCCTTTCCCAGTTAAACAAAATACCACCCGCACCCATCAGCAAAACCTAAATTATTTCCATCTGGAATTCATTCATCTATCCACATATCCTAAAACTCCCATGGATGTCTCCACTATTGCCTGTTCTCCCTTCTAAATCCCAAGGCATAAGGGGGAAACATCACAATTTCAAGCAGAAACAGGATCACCTTCTAAAGTTTTGGGACTTTGCGTTTCCCTGAAGACCTTCTACTTTAGCAGGCTCTCACAAGAGAGCTGCTGCTCCCCAATATCCCTCCTGTCCTTGGTGCTTGCCTTGACTAGATGGATGGCCCTACCCCAGCAACTATTTATTCAGGGATCAGATTTTTTTTAAATTGTAAAAATATTTTATTTTCCTTATATAAAATGCAATAAATATAATAAATACAATAAATAATACAATATATACAATAAATATAATCAATGCAAACTACTAAAAATGATAAACAAATACTATACAATTGTAATTAAAAATACAGTTTCATCTTTGAGGTTACTCCTCCGGCACTCATCCTCACTCCAGGACGCCTAGCTCAGCTCCATTTGCAGTGTCCGTTTTCTTCCAACTGGCCAATGCCTGCTGGAGCTTTGCTGCTATTACAGTTTTTGCATTAGCAATGCATTCTTGAATACAAGCCCTCAACCCAGAGTCTCCTGGAAACATCCAAGATCGAAGCATTGGCACCGGCTCGACTTGATTCTCTGTTACGATCACACGCAGCTATCTGGGTTCTGACTGTGAGACAGACCACTCCTTGGTGCGCAGCAGAATAAAACTCCAAGCAAAGATGAAATGTTTCAAAGATGGTTTCTAGGTGACTGAGGTTTCTTCCACTGTCAGGATTCCGACACTTAACCCCATTTAAATCATGAGTCTCTACTCAAACTCCAAAAATATTTATTGGGAGTTAAAAGATGCGGCATTGCCTGGGAGCCAACTCTCACAAATTAATCAACATTGCTGGGACAATTGATGCCTGGTCCCTTCCCAACATCTGGAAGGTGTGGAGAGAAAGTCAGGCAGCCACGGCAGAAGGGAGGGGTGTCAGAGGAGGATTTGCTCCAAACTACCCAAATGCAAACAGAAGCTAACGATGTAATTATAGCCAAAGTTGAGAAATTTGCAATTTCATTGCATATTCTTTGCATAAATTCCAAGTTAATATAAGCTTTTACACAAGAAAAAAAAGACAAAGTTTCCCCCCCCCCCCATTTGCTAATTTGGGTGTGCCACCCCAGTGGTTCAAACATTTATGGAATGCAAGCTGTCCACTGCTTCCCCCTCCCTTTCTGTTGGTAATTCTAAAAGACCACAGAAATATTTTATGAGTTGACATTCGGCTCCCCTCCCCTCTCGAAGGTGATCTGTACAACAGAAAAAAAAAACAAATTTATTGCAGGTATAGGACTTAGGGTTTCAACCCTCCCCACAGCTTGGTTGGGTTTTCTGCATGGAACCTCTTCACAAGGCGATCGGCTTGGACGTTCCTACACTTCAGCCATGACGCCTCTGATAAGGGGTAGCCCTTCCACTTGATCAAATATTGGAGCCGTCTCCTGTGCCACCTCGAATCGAGGATTCGCTGCACCTCAAATGGGTTTGGCCTCCTATGACCACGGGGTCTGGGGGTTGACGAGGTGGTGGCCTTAGGGTTGATCCCACCTTGGGTTTTAAGAGGCTGTTATGGGATACCAGGTGTACGTACCTTACAATCGGGGCAACCGCAGTTGCACCGTGACCAGATTGATGACCTTTACTATGGGGGATGGTCCCATGGACTTTGGCCCCAATTTCTTGCTAGGGAGTCTTAACTTCAGATATTTGGTGGAGAGGTAGACCTTCTCCCCAACCTGGAATGGCCGTTGTGGGGCTCGGTGTTTGTTTGCCTGTCTCTTATAGCTTTGTGCCGCTTTTGCCAGCGCTTTTTTAACATTCTCCCAAGTTGCTTTCAACGTTGACATCCACTCGGTCAGGCTGACTGAGGAGGGGGGATCCCTTGGATACTCAGGCATTGAAGGGGGTGAGTCCCATGTTATTGTGAACAGCATTATTGTATGCAACCCCTGTAAAAGGCAGGACTGGATTGCTTTTTAAAAAAAAAAAAAGTTTTATTTCAGTTTTTTACATTATAAAACAAAAACGACTCTTTTCAGTGGACAGCATGATTCCGGGTTACCACATTTACATGCAAATATGACAATAGTTATGTATTCATCTTTTACATTCAACTTCCTACCTTATCCAAGTTTTACTTGATTCTATTATTACCTTTTCTGAAATACTCTTTTTTCATTTAAATCACATATAATTCCAGTATCCTCATATTTATTACCTTTTAGTACTTTTATCTGTCAAATTTGCAATTTCATCACATATTCAAACTGTAAAAATAAGAATGCTTTTAACTTTTCTTCCCTCTTTTTCTTTCTTTTTTCTTTCTTTTCAATCTTTTCTTTTCTTTCTTTTCTTCCTTCTTTTTTTGTTCTCGTTTATTTGTGTATGTATCGTTGGTTGTTTTTAATTGTAAAAACTAATAAACTGTTTTTTTTTAAAAAAGAAAAGAGTTGTTTTTGTTTTATAATGTAAAAAACTGAAATGAAACTTTTTTTTTTCTGTTGTACAGATCACCTTCAGGAGGGGAGGGGAGCCGAATGTCAACTCATAAAATGTTTCTGTGGTCTTTTAGAATGACCAACAGAAAGGGAGGGGGACGCAGTGGGCAGCTTGCATTCCATAAATGTTTCAAAGATGGTTTCTAGGTGACTGAAGTTTCTGCCACAGTGGGGGAAAACCAGGGTCAAGGGTGACAATGACAGAGTCGGCTACACCCAGGCAGTGCCAGACATGTTAACTCCCAATAAATCCTTTGAAGTTTTGGACGTTTGGCTTGAGACTCATGATCTAAATGGGGTTAAGTGTCGGAATCCGGAGAGCAGGCCTTAGTTACAGAGTTATATCTACCAAACGGGGAAAGAGAAAGGGAGGGGCAGAGAGAGAGAAAGAAATGGAAAAGACATCAGATTTGTTTCATTTAAAAAACCCTTGAACAGTTAGACAAACAAACAAAACAACAAGACAGTTCACATTCTGCAAAGCAGGGAGTTCCCAATGGACATGAGGGAACAGAAGACTCTTCTGTTTGCACCATATTTTCTGGGCTGCAAACCTTTGCTTTCATGGACTTTGAAGTGATCAAAGCACCTTAAGCTTTCTGTAAATGGTTGCAGCCTTCCATTGTGGCGTCAAATAAGTAACCCTTTCCATTTTCCTGCAATAATCAGCAAATTGGGACCACTTTATAAGGCCTTGGAAAGGCCACACTTGGAATACTGCATTCAGTTTTGGTTGCCACGATGTAAAATAGATGTTGAGACTCTAGAGTACAGCGATGATTAGGGGACTGGAGGCTAAAACATATGAAGAACGGTTGCAGGAACTGGCTATGTCTAGTTCAATGGGAAGGAGGACTAGGGGAGACACGATAGCAGTGTTCTGATATCTCAGAGGCTGCCCCAAAGAAGAGGGGGTCAAGCTATTCTCCAAAGCCCCTGAGGGCAGGACAAGAAGCAACAGGTGGAAACTGATCCAGGAGAGAAGCAACTTAGAACTCAGGAGAAATTTCCTGACACTTAGAACAATTCATCAGTGGAACAACTTGCCTTCAGACGCTGTGAATGCTCCAACACTGGAAGTTTTAAAAAAGAGATTGGATAACTATTTGTCTGAAGTGGTGTAGGGTTTCCTGCCTAGGCAGGGGTTTGGACTAGAAGACCTCCAAGGTCCCTTCCAACTCTGTTATTCTATTCTATTCTAAATCCTTTGGACAATGCATACGGGAAAACCATTAAAATGCTTACAGAACAAAGAGAGAAAGGAAAGGACTTCTTGTTCTCATGTTATGAAATAACAACCAAAACAATCCCTTTGCAGCTGGCCTTGTTTGCTTTTTCCTCCCCTTTAGGCCAGGGAGAGCAAGCAAACCAAAAGGGTGAGAAACAAGGCCAGGTAGCATTTCAGAAGTTGACTAGGTGGTTTTGCTTCACAAACAAGCTGTCCCAAATCAGCTCTCGGATCTGAGATCCTTGGTCCTCCTTTCAGGACTGGTGGGAGCATCAGCATGGACAATGGATAATTACAATTATCCACAGATAACAGATAATCAGAGTTGGAAGGGACCCTATAGTTCATCTAGTCCAACCCACCGCCCAAGCGGGAGACCCTACACCATTTCTGACAAATGGCAGTCCAATCTCTTCTTCAAGGTCCCAAGTGATGGCGCTCCCACAACTTCTGAGGGCAACTTCTGTTCCATGGGTTGATTGTTCTCACCATTTTTGCATCTCAACATGAAATCAGCTTGTCTGCTTTGTAAAGAGACCTCTAAGAGAGTTCTATTTCTTTTCCTTAATTAGTGCTTTGGATGATATGTTTTTATCAGGCTTTGCAAAGCTACTTTGTGCATTTTTACAGTTCAAAACTGCTTTTTTTTTTACTCTTATCATTTGTGCTGGCTCTTAGTAAAATACAAACCCATCTTTACAGAGAGGAAACACAGATGTGGAAGAGAACCAACAGGTACAAAACTGCATCATACAAGGTCTATTTTTCAGAGCGTTGCAAACATCACCTAATGGTTACCCCCCCACACAGTAAATGCACTTATTGTGCCTGGGTGTATGTAGCAATGAGCAGCTGTATGAAACCAAAGGCTTGGCTCTACTGTTTCTATTTCCTTAAATTGTCAGAGCTGCACACTCTAACACAGCATTTCTCAACTTCTGGCAACTTTAAGATGCATGGACTTCAATTCCCAGAATTCCCCAGCCAGCAAGTTAGGTAGATAGATAATGGTGAAAGCATCAGGCTAGAAATCAAGAGACTGGAAACTCTAGTCCCGCCCTAGGCATGAAAGCCAACTGAATGGCAGTCTCCCCCATCCCAAAGCTTCCCAGGTTCTTGTGGAGAAGATGAGGAGGAGGAGGAAGTATTAGGCATGTTTGCCACCTTGACTTATTTATAGAAATAATAAAGGTGGGATATAAATCAATAAACACATAGACAGGTAAGCAAGCAAGCTCTGCTCTCCGGATCCTGCATTATTTTTTTCCTGCAATAACTCGTAGAGCCATGCATTGGATTGTCTAGAAAGATGATTGCTATTGTATTAATTCCTATTGTACCTGAACTGAATCCAGTAGTTTGTAGAGCTAAAAGGTCTCTGATTAATCTCACATCTATCACAAACAGGAGCAGACTCCACATTCTTTCAGGGGTCAGTATCCGAGGTGGTATTCAGCAGGTTCTGACCAGTTCTGGAGAACCGGGAGCGGAAATTTGGAGTAGTTCGGAGAACCAGCAAATACCACCTCTGTATCTTTCTCCTGCCACGCCCACCAAGCCACACCCACAGAACTGGTCAGAATCCCAACATCATGTCCTTACTTGTTGTAGTCCACCGGCCACCTGTGGAGATGGCAGCAGAGTCGGACAGTGGGGAGGAACATGGGCCACTCCAGGATACAGGGAGTTATGTGCTGACTCCGGACCTCCAGAATCTGGCAGCAGCGAGGCAGAGGAACAAGGGGAGCCTGTTCCCAATGTGCGCATGCACAGAGCTGCCAGAAGGCAAGAGCAGCAAAGACAAAAGGGCGACTTGGGAGTAAGGCTTGGAGGTGATTGGCCCTCCCATAAGACATAAAGGAGGAGCAAAAGGACAGGAGCCTTTGCAGGAAGCAACTTTGTTCGTACTGGTCGGTTTGAAACGTGAAGCTCTGTGTTGAATTTGTGCTCCGGTTGGCCTCGTATAACTAATTGGAAATTTAGTCGTTGGCAGCATTTCAAGGAAGATAAAGGTGCGTGCTTATCAGACTTATCCTGAAGGACTTTGGCAGACTTCCATGGGAATATTACAAAGTGTTTGAGACTCATTACGGGCTGTGAATGACTAAAATTCACAGCCGTTGAAATAAAGAAAAAACGGTTTTGGGACTAACGTGTGTTTGTTAGTGTCTCAATAAGCCTTGGTCAGAACAGTACTTACCATCAGTGCCGCCTTTGGGATGTGGTGTCCCTACTGGTGTTACTGGTCACTGTGATTTGGATGGTTTCTTGAGGCCTTACAGACCCCCTTCTCATTCTATACTGCCTCTTCAATCTTCCCCAGAGGGATTGCGTGTTCTGGAGGAGGGAGACACACACACACACACACACACACACACTGTGAGAGAGGAAGCAGCCAAAAGGAAATGAGACAATTCTTCCCTTAATCCCAAGGACTCGTCTCAGAGCAGCCTCCTCCAACTTGCTGAGCTTCAGAGCGGCCCTGACTTCGAGTCCCAGAATCCCTGGCCTTCGTATCTCTCTTAAAATGTTTAAACTCCATGAACCCTCCAGTATTTGCCTCAAAACATCAGTACAAATGTGCTGCATCAGAGCCAAGTTCCTTCCTGTGGGTAATTCACAGCCACAAGCAACATCTCTGGGCCCCCTTCAGTCCAAAAGGAAACCCTCCACTCCAGCGCTTGGATCCTGGGACATTGCACCCCTTCATAAATAGGAACCAGTTGCTAAGGGTTCGGATTTAGGTCACTTCCTCTCCATGGAGAGGCTGCAATGATCATAAGTGTGCAAAATGGTCATAAGCCACTTTTTCTGTGCCCTTGTAATTTCGAATAGCGACTAAATGAATGGCTGTAAGTTGAGGATTATCTGTAATGGAAGTGAAGCATCAGAACCAGATTCAAATGCACACTAGGCCCTGACACTCATATTAGACCTTGACATTCAAGTTCTCTCCCTCTCCCTCTGCCTCCCTCTCTCTCTCTCTCTCTCTCTCTCTCTCTCTCTCTGCCATGGGGACCAACTTCTATACATTACAATGTATTATCTATAGCAATTTCTTACCCTTGCCCGGTGAAGGCTGGAGACTTGGGTCTCCAGCTCCATGACTCTCTGCTGCAGCACCATGTTTTCCTGCTGCAGCTGCAGGTTCCTTTTCTCCATCTGAGCCAGGCTCTCCGTGAACTTCTCCAGGTGTCGGAGACCTCGCCTTGGGAGATGGGAGAGGGGGGCTAGCCGTCGTTGTCCCTAGAAAATAAACATCATGCAGTATTGTAGAATCAGTCGTCTCTCTAGACGGAGCATCTCGATTCCTTCAGCTTATCCCAGGGCATCAGGAATTTGTGCTGGCATTCTACACCTACCCCATACACACAGAGTGGACATGAAGCCTGGAGGAAGAGTTCAGCCTCTGCAAATATCCCATGAACATCGAAGGAGCTTATATGGCTTCACAGACTGCAGTAAGACATGGTTTACTGAGCAAGCCACTGATGGCCCGATTTGCCCAATGGTAACCAGCCTTCCTGGCAAGTATATGACAACATGCAGTCCTTATTGTAGAATCAGAACGCCCTGCTGCAAAGTAGGTCAGCAGAGAAAGAGCCTCTCTACCTGCAAGGTGAAGACACGGGGATACCCTAGCAAGAGGCAAAGATGCAAGACCTCATCCCAGGTGGAATTCAAGAGCTTCTCCCATACGAAACGAACCCCCCTGGCTAGTGGGAGGAGAGACTGAGTAGCCCCAGAGGGAAGACATAGCTAATAGTGACCCTTGGCTCTCTGCTCACGCACATCACCAGGGATGCCCCTGCAAAGCCCCTCCACTTTCAGTCCCGCTGCCAGCAGCTGCCTCTGCTCCACCAGAGCAGTTTCCGAAGACTCCTCAGGTCCGCTTGGGCCAACTGGCATCTTCCCAACACTCACCTCTCCTTTGCCTTTCTCCTCCACTGTGGTGCTGCAGCTGGGGGTAGGTTGACCATGATCTCTGGAGGCCTCGTCTGGAACTCTGTCAACCGTCCCTGGAGCCCCTTTGAATGGAAATAACCAGGTTGTGTTGTATCCTCTCATCACATCTTCCCCAAAGGATGTTGTGGCACAATGATGAAGGTGTTGGAGGAGGAGGAGGAGGAGGAGGAGGAGGAGGAGGAGGAGATGATGAAAGTTTTCATCCCTCTTCTGCCATGCTGGCTCTTCTCTCCTAGCCTAACCTACAACTGTCACTTTGTTCTACTTTGAAAGCCAGTTACAAAGGCGCCAGGCTAGAAAGCGGGAGTTCTAGTCCCGCCTCAGCCATGAAAGGCAACTGGGTGACTTTGAGCCAAGCAACTTTTTCTCAGATCAAGGCACTTCACAGGGTTCTTGTTGTGAAGATGTTTTGGACATGTTCTTGGGTTGTTTGTAAAAAAAAGTTAGTAAAGGCAGGATATAAATAAAGAAATAATTGCAGGGTTGTCAGGGGGGAAAAGCACTGTGGATGCTGCCTTGAGCTCCTGCAGATAAACCAGGCTATACTAAATCTGAGAAAGAACAAAGCAACCACAACCCCAATCACTGGCTTGGTTGACATAACGCCCTGCACCACAATGTGGCTTCTTTGGGCTTAGCCTGTTTGATCTAGCTAATGGCGTCTGACTCAATAAATCCTAGTTCATTGATTGTACCTGCCTTACCACAAGGTGCATGTTAAAGCTAGAATTCCTGAACTGTTCAGGGTGTTATTTCAAGGATTATCCTACTGCAGCCATGTTTCTCAACCGGGGCAACTTTAAGAAGTGTGGACTTCAAATCCCCCAGTTCCACAGCCAGCCTGCCAGCTACACAGTTCTGGGAGTTGAAGGTCCCCACACATTTTAAAGTGGTCACCATTGAGGAAGGCTGCCTTATAGCAAAGCTCTGCAGACTTTCAGGCATGTGGACTTCAGCTCACAGTATTTCACGCTGGCTGGGGAATTCTGGGAGTTGAAGTCCACAAGTCTTTCAACTGCCAGGTTTGGAGACTCCTGCCTTAGGGCATTAACCCAGCCTGCAAGCTAGGAGAGGCGGAAGGCTAATGGCTCTGGAAGTGCCCCTTGGCTTCCCACCTGAACTTGGAGCCAGATTGTTCCAGGTTCCTAGACAGCAGTTAGTAGACTGCCAGTCCCAATGGTTGGCCATCCAATCACAAAGGTCTTCTCCAAACTTGGGTCCCCAGTTGATTGATCTCCCTCCCTTTTTTCTCTTCCCACAAACTGTTTTGAGAAGGGCACTTCTTTCCATATTAGATAACGAACATGAAATGTTTATATTCCCACTTTTTAAAAAAACATCAGCTGTTTTCCAGCTGAACCCAGCAAGTCTGGCAGGAAAGAAAGTGCCACCAATCCCCCCTGTCGAAAGAACTATACTGGGTGGGACATAGGAGATGGGCCTCTTCTGCCAAGGCCCCCACCTTACAGATGAAGGAGGCTCCATCCCTGTGGATTTTCCAGAAATGTAGCTCTGCCTTTACCCTGGGAGGGAGTGTGTGGCAGGAGGAACTGGTGAGGGGTTGTGGTGACTCCATGGTAGTTAAGCTCTGCTGCTCTCTCTTTGCCTTTTAATCACAGTTTTTGATTCTTTGGATTGGATTGTTTTTATAACAACATTTGAGAGTTGTTATTGTGCTC